ATATTTATATATATATATATATGTTACTGACATGTTTAAATACAGTCACAGACACTACACACCATATCTTCAGTGGCCAAATACATGAGCAGAGCCTCAGAGGAGAAGGTGCGGAACTTAAAGGTGATGGTGGAAACGTTGGGGTTCCATCTGGTGGGTCGTCCCACGGCAGCGTAACCTTCACCGTCCAGCTGGACTGTCCCTTCACTGTCTGACCTCTGGGGGCTGCAAAGAGACAAACAATATTTATTTCTCATTTATTTTTGAACTTGAAAAATATATAGAGAGTTCGCAACACGATTCTCCAGGGTTTCATCTTGTTACTGTCTGTATTTTCAACACCCTCTATATATTATATTCACCTAAATACTGTTACAATCAGTTCCCAAAGAATTAAAAATCTCCAAGACAATGTTTTATTCAAGAGGTATTAATTATAGCATTCAAACTTCAGTGTTTACTGCATCCTAAAATGTCTTTGAGAGACATGTCACAGTGACGTACCTGACAACACAGCCCTTACAGTCTCCCTGCCTCTCTCTGTAGTTCCACAGACCAATGGGTTTACCATCCAGGAAGGTCTCGCCCATGCAGCCTGTGAAGGTTGACGTTCTCACAGCATCTGCTTTCTAAAAAAACAAAAAAAAAAAAAACAAACAAACATCAAGGAGGAAACAATAATAAGTCAGGGAACGACAGACTGTTGACGTTCTAAACAAAGCCAGAGGAGGACGGATACCTTGACAGTTCCCACTATTCCTCCTACGAACAGGTAGGCGTTCTGGTCCACGTCCAGGATAGTGTAGGTCGTGGGTGAGTTGGCGCTCGCCGGGGTCGGCATCATACCAGCCATGGTGCCTTCCAGGGGATATACTGATATGGTTCCGTTCAAGCCGTTCCTGCAGACAGAGGGGATTGATATTGTTTGTTTTGTTTTGACTTCTGTGCAATTCCTGGAAAACATCGACGCCGACTCCAGGAGTTTGACGTACTACGAACAGCCTCTAATTAACTGTAGGTGATGATGAATGACAGGAACACCACGAGGAACCCCTGAGCTGCGTGATGAGATTAATCTCCCACCTCGGAGTTTGTTTTCGGAGCAGTATTTCTGCTCTGTTTCTGCAGGGGGAACATTTTCAAGACTGATAGTCCGTGTGATCCCACAGGAAAACACCGGTGGGAATTCTCTGCCAGGGAAGCGTGTGCTGCAGGTGTGATGTCGACTTGGTGTGAACAGGCCTCGTGTCGGATCCTCTATAAAGCACCGTGTCAGCTTCTCACTGAGGGAAAGTGAAAGTGCTAGATTACACTGTATCTGTGTAATGATGTGCCACAGGCTGAGGGGGCGCCACACTCGAGATTTCCCATGTGAAGCTCTGTGGACGGGATGGATCTGGATGATGTCCTCAGGTTGTTATTTTGGTTTATGGTTTCTATTTAAATGAAGGGTACAGTGAGAGACGTGTACAGGCTGTCAGTACTACAGTACTGCAGTACTACTCCCTGACAGTGATGCTTCCTGACCAACACTGCACAGAAAGTTTTCAAACAACTGAAAATTGACGAGAAGTTTTTGAGGTGGGAGATGAGTTCTTCAACATGAATCATCACAGATTCACATTTATGCTTTGGTTTTCTATACTTATATACTTATAAATATACTTTAATAAATATCAATAATGTGTTTTTAAAAAAAATAAATGTATTATTGTAGTTTTTGTTCAGAGAAACTAAAACACGACTCGTGTAAAAAAAAGTCAAAACAAGCAAAATATTTACTTTATATTCACTCTTGACTCGTGCAAAAAAAACGTAACTTTAAAAAAAAGTCAAAACGAGCAAAATATTTACTTTATATTCACTCTCCAAAATATTATATTTATATAATATTTGTGAAATACACATTCACCAGGTGCGTCTGTGAAGTAGTACATGAACTCACCGAGACGCCTCTATTCGGTGCCAGCTCCCGTCGTGGATGGTCACATGGGGGTACTCCACCCGGCCGACCCCTGACCCCACGTCCCACAGGAAATTCACCTTCCCTTTACGCATCTCCAAGGCCAGGAAATCAACCTGAGACACAGAGAGGACAAACACGTCATCATGTCTACAAAAGACGTGGACAGAGGGGGCGCCACTGGACACAGACAAACAGAACCAGGACAGATGGAGAGACACTGGATCAGAAGTAGAGGACGAGGTCACGGTCGATGACAGATACTGTGTACAGCCACAGAGAGGCGCTCCGTGTGAGGATGGATTTTAATTTTTGATTTACTTTATTACTAAATAAATATTTACAAGTAAAGCCGTATATATTTCCTTCTTATATGTATTATATAGATTGAAGTTTTGACTCTTGCTAATGCTGATCCAAAAAGTTTCTAAAATTATTTCTTTTTTTTTGTGTGTGAGCAGTGACAACCAGATCCTTTCAGATCTCAAACATTCCTCTCCGCTCTCCCTCTAACGTCCGTCGGCCGCCGTCACCTTTGTTCCCGCGCTGATGAAAGCTCAGAGTTACGCAACACTACAGTCACAGCGACGCTGAGTCCAAACGACGTGGAGCGTCGGAGTCTCAGTCAGGAGGGAGAGTTGGCGAATAACAAAGGAGGAGAAGTCATTTCACGCCGGCCATTGTCACGGTACAAAGACGGAGGATTTGTCCATCTGTCTCCGTCAGTGGACGGTGATGAACGACTCGCAGTTTTTACGAAGGAGCCGAGAAGAATTAATAAGAGAATTCTGAGCATATGTTCTCCCTTTGATTCTCTCTCTCCACACACACACAGACACACAAATCAAAGACTATTAGGACGTTCCCTATTAAAGGCACACACACACACACACACACACACACAGGTTGACACACACTTGTCTCGACTCTCCAGGGTAATAGTGATTATTTATGAGTACACATCACAGGGCAGCGTCGTTTATATTCAACCAGCGTTACACAATTATTGACACACACACACACAAAGATCCAGTGTGTGTATAATTTGTTTAATATAGCAGTAATTAATACTTCTTGACACGTATTCAATAACGGCCTCATAAATAATACGCTGGTGTTTAAAAGGGACTGCCTTTAATTTCACGGTGTGTGTTTATGCAGATACGTGTGTGTGTGTGTGTGTGTGTGTGTGTGTGTGTCCTAGCGTCAATTACCAAGTTTATGTTGCTATCTGCTTTAGCCTGATTTCCCTTGAGAAATCACAGTCTTCAACAAGCAGGCGTGTGTGTCTGTGTGTGTGTGTGTGTGTGTGTGTGTGTGTGTGTGTCGTCACTCTAATGGTGAAGAACTCAGAGTGAGTAGTAATGATATGTATGTCGTTTTGTGGTAATTAAAAAAAACCCCGTAATTATTTATAATACATCAAATGTATAAGAAATATATCAGTATCAATCGCAAATACTTCACTCAAATACTTCACTCAAAAATCACTTTGACCTTGTTTTTTTTTTTTAAAACAAGAAAAAAAAAAACCACAACTCTATAAAACGAAGGCAACTTCATCACAGGTCCCCTGTAATACAGCACAACTAGAACGAGTGTGTGTGTGTGTGTGTTGCATTTATCATACTTAGAAACGCCCCTGACACACACACACACACTCGTTCTAGTTGTGCTGTATTACAGGGGACCTGTGATGAAGTTGCCTTCGTTTTATAGAGTTGTTTTTTTTTTTTGTTTTTTTTTTTTAAAACAAGAAAAAAAAAAACCACAACTCTATAAAACCAAGGCAACTTCATCACAGGTCCCCTGTAATACAGCACAACTAGAACGAGTGTGTGTGTGGGTGTGTCAGTGGCTTTTCTAAGTATGATAAATGCAACACACACACACACACTCGTTCTAGTTGTGCTGTATTACAGGGGACCTGTGATGAAGTTGCCTTCGTTTTATAGAGTTGTTTTTTTTTTTTTGTTTTTTTTTTTTAAAACAAGAAAAAAAAAAACCACAACTCTATAAAACGAAGGCAACTTCATCACAGGTCCCCTGTAATACAGCACAACTAGAACGAGTGTGTGTGTGTGTGTGTCAGTGGCTTTTCTAAGTATGATAAATGCAACACACACACACGCACACACAGCACTCGCTGAGGAGGGGGAATATGATTAATGTTTTAATACTAAACAACAGAAGTGTCAGACGACGGTTTGACGACCATGAACAGCAGAACTGTTTCCACCAGTTCAGTCTCAGCTCAGTGGAACATGTTAGCTCCGGAGAACACGAAGAGTTCTAATGAACAGGGATGAATTGTTGTTGTGAAAATGAACGGAGATAAAAAGTCTGAATGTTAGCTGCTGTTCTCTGATACACCAGATAATTGATGCTAACAAAGAGCTAACCACTCGAGGTTAGCTCAACTTCCTGCATCCAGATGTCAAACTGTTAAATGTTAATGTGGTTCCAGACACTGGATCAGGGGGTTTGACAATTACATTATTCTCTGCTTTTAAAAATGTGGGGCGCAGCTTCCCAGAGGGCACATAAGCGGGTTTACAAGCACCTCCTCATGTTAGCTAGGTGGCTAACGAAACAGGACAATGACGTTTTTTTAAGTTGAAAATTAATTTTCTTATGGTAAAATAGTATGTATACATTTTCTACTGTGGACGTGTGACTGAAGTATATCCGTGTACACCGTGTGTACTCACATATTTGGCCGAGCCCAGGTAGAAGAGCAGGTTATCAGGTGTGGTGGTTTTCACGTGAAGGACGATGGTGTTGTACCGACCCTTCCTGATCTCAGGTCTGTAACTACGGAGACAGTCGCCGCCCGACGACACGGAAACTTTGATCTGGAAGAATGACGATCATCAGAATTAAAGAAAGAAAGAAGAAGAAAAAACTTTGGGTGTTCTACTTTACTACAGCTGCGGTCATGGGTCTGCGGCCGGGTTTACCGAGTTGGCCTGTTTCCTGGCTTGGTTGATCAGCTCCTTGATCTGAGAGATGTTCCGCTTCAAATTGTCCTGCAGCTTTTTGATTGGCTGCAGCTTCTCCAGCAGCCTATCGGCCTCATCCTCCAGATCTTTGACTTTAGCTCCAGCAGCGTGGACTGAGAGCAGAGAGAGGAATAAAGTACAGCAGCAGAGACGCAGAACGGCAACAACGGCTCCGTAGCATTAATGCCATACAGTATGTAAGGGCAGGTAGAGAGCGGGTGAGGAGAGTGGGGGGGTGAGGAGGGGGAGGGATGTAAGCAGCAGCAAAGATCATCGAGACCAGAGGAGAAACAGAGGCAGAATGAAGTGGATGGGCAGAGGCAACAAGAGACAATCCATTAGTGCAGCTCAGCGCTGGAGGAAACGTTTCCTACGTGATTCACTATTAGAAATAAAAAAAAAAGGTTCAGAAACTGGATGAGACAGAAGTGAAGACAAAAACAGAGAGATGTTTTTTTTTACTCCCATGCTCTCATGCTCCAGCCGGGCAGAGCAGGAAGAGAAGGCGTTATTAGAAGCCATTACTGTTTACTGTGATGATATGGAAGGTGGTGATGAGAAGAATGTGTGGTGCTCCAACACTGGTGTTGAACTCAGAGAACAGAACTTTGTTTGTGTGTAATTATTTCATCTGATTTCACCAAAGGCTGCTGCTGCTGAATGTGCACAAACGACATCACGTGATGTGCTAATTACAACGCAGCATTGGTGCACCACTGATGGGAGAGAGAGGGAGAGAGAGGGAGAGAGGGAGGGTAGAGGTGAGGAGGTGAGTGAAGTATACATACTGATGGCTGTGGGGACCGAGGAGAGAGAGAGAGACAGAGAGGAGACGGATCAGGTTTGGATTTGGAGTTACTGTCACTGAACAGACGACTGTCGACTGCTTCACTACAGACATGGAGGTCAATCAGCGCCACACTGATTATGATGATCATTAGACTGGAGATCACAGTTACACAGCAGTCATTATCGTGATGTTGGTTACGATCTAAACCCCCGGGGAGGGCATGGGGGGGGGCATGGGGGGTGTGTCAAACTCAAATTCACACTGGGCCGAAATTAAAAACTGGGCTGAAGTCGAGGGACAAACTTTATAATTATTGATAAATCGATGGCAATTGTTCAAATTTTCCCCTCATTCCAAATATGTAATGTAATTTATTCACATGGAAAGAATTTTAGTTTTGAGTAAACATTAAATATGGAACAACTAAAGGTTAATATTAGAAATTAAATTTGGATTAAAACACACATCAGTGGTGTTTGTTTCTTATTTTGTCTCTTTATCTGATTATCTGGTGATTTGATTTTATGTTTCATTTGATATGATCTTGAGGCCCAAATATAATTACACTGCGGGCCAGATTAGGGACCCCGGGCCTGAGTTTGACACATGTGATCTAAATGGTTAAAGGATGAAACGAAAATTGGCAGAAATGTAAAAATCTGTCTAATCATTTTGACCATCTTTTCCTTTGTGTGATTAAAAAGGAACTTTACTGTTTTTCTCAGGGTCCTGGATCATCTGATTGGCTGCGTTCACCGTGTCCTCCAGCTCGCTGTAGTTCCGCTGTAAGCCGTGGATTCGCAGATTCAAATCCCCGAGTCGGTCCAGGACGTCGATGGCCGTGGCGTTAGCATCTGCGGCTACAGCCTTGGTGGCTGCTAGCTTAACTGAAGTGTCTGCAAAAAAGAGAATATTGTTTCTGTTTTAAACATAAAGTAATTAAGAGCCAAAGAGCTAAACCTTTTGGCAGGTTAAATAAAAATTAAATACTAATAAAATTAAGTAACACTAACATTGAGTTTGTTTTTTGTATCTTATATTTCAAAGACTAATGAATGAATTTTCTAAGCTAAAAAAAAGACTATCAAGTTAGCATGAATGTTCTTGCTTTTTTATAGCTTTTACTCCACAAACAAAACAAACAATTTCCCAAAGTCAGCCACTGACATCATCGTCTGATATAAAGTTTATAATCTGCAGGTACTGGTGTGTCAAACTGAGATTACCCCAGTATCTGACCTTTATGTGCACAATGGTATTGAACCACTTACACACACACACACACACACACACACACACACAGACTGCATGAAGCTGTAGGGTCACACGGTACCGTTGGGTAAAGCGTTGAGTGTTGCCATGGTTCCATTCACAGCTTTCAGCAGGTCTTTGCTTTTGTCCCTCGCAGCTTTGACTCTGCCCTTCAGCCCCGCAACGCTGTCTGCATTCTCTACACAAAATGAACACACGCGGAGTAAATGAGCGCCGCCGTTCGATCTGATGCCAAGGCAGCCAATGAAAAGCTTGGCCGAGTTGGGTATGGACGGAAAAAAAATGGATAATGACAAATAAAATCAACCTTTTCTCCAGTAACAACTAACAAATCCCTGCTTTCATCAGGGACAGAGAACACAATACAATACAATACAAAAAAGTCAACCTCTGACAGGAGAGAGTCAACTTCCTGTTACCTCTGACATCATTCTGCAGCTGTTTAGCTTGTTTCAGCAGCCTCTGGCTCTTCTGAAGAGCAGCTTGAGCTTCCTCCTTCACCGGGACCTCTGGACCCAAGGCCTTCACACACACACACACAGACACACACACACACACACAGCAGGGACATGTTTGTGTGGTTTACTAACTGAAGTGTGAGGTACATGTGTTTGAAGAATTATCAGCTGTTGTTTCTATTCTGTAGAGTTTCTTTTTGCAGCTAAAAGCCTCAGATCAGCTACGATGGAGCTGTCCGTGGTGCTGATTTGACTTTTGTTGCTTCTGTCTCCTTGGTCAGATATTTCTCCACAGTGTTATCAACTTGGTGAGGTATTTGTAGTAGTATTTGTTGGGTACTACAGTAGTTATCGCCCAGTTTCAAATGTGGACTCTGTTTTTACATTTAAATTCTCAGATTTTACACATATTTTTTAGGACTATAATTATTTGAAATAAAGATACAGGAATGGTATTTAAAAATACGTGATGAAATCTGGATGAAGGAATAAAAAAAGTAAATGACTTTCTAATTCAAAAGCAAAAGAACGAGGACTGAAAAATATGCTGCACAGACATGTTTGTGTGTGTGTGTGTGTGTGTGTGTGTGAGTGTGTGTGTGTGTGCTCACACACACACACACACACACACACACACACACACATGAAAGGTGAAGAAGGGTAACATGAAGGTAAAAACCAAGGACAGAGAAGAGCTTTGATCTCTGAGCCATGACTAATGGACAGAATGGGCTCACATTAATGCTGCTGCAACACACACACACACACTCACACACACACACACACACACACACACACACACACACTTTTTATTCTGATGCTATATTTAAATTAAATTACTTTACTGTATTTCATAGGAAAGTACATTTTACTTGTTGTGTTTTTGTACACACACACACACACACACACACACACACACACACACACACGTGTTCTCACCAGAGCCAGCGCCTCGCTCGCCCTCTGTCTGGCCAACTTTGCCTCTTTCTCTGCTTCATCCACGTTGGCTTTAATGTTACTGTAGGCCTTGAAGGCAGCAGTGGCGTTGAAGGACAGATTTTTGGCTTCTGCCAAAATACTGAAAAAAAAAAAAAAAAAACACCAAAAGGACAGAGGAGAAAAAAAGAGAAGTTGGATTTTGGTTCATGTTGGTGAAATGAATTTGTAAAGGACAAAGGAGAAAAAAAGAGAAGTTCTTGATCTTGGTTCATGTTGGTGAAATGAATTTGTGATCATTTTAGGATCTGGTTCAGGGTTTTAGTTTTTATGGATGAAGAAAATAAAAGTATAACTACAGTACTTGTAGTGTATTTGTAATCAGAGTACTGTAACATGTTACTTTTTGGTGGAGTGTCGGACAAGGCTCACCTGTCCAAAATGGCTGCAGATTGATTCAGCTGTTGGGCGTGCTCCTCAGCATCACGCACGTGATTGGTCAAACCCACGGTCAATCCCTGGGTCAGGTGACTGACTTTCTTGTCCAGCTGGTTATGAAGAGGACCCAGTTGATTGGTCATCTCCTCCAGGTCCTAACAGGAGAGACAAACACCACAGGTCACTGACAAAGAAACCACGGCGTCTGTGTTTTTCAACATGTCATTTTGGTGACGTTTCCACCTCCACTTCTTTGTTGATGTTGTCAGAGAGCTGGTTCGCTTCATCCAGCAGACGTTCTCCTTCTCCCAGAACCTCCTGCGCCTCCTTTTTGACCAGTCCTACAGCAGAACGCTTCCTCTGAAAGAAAAAACAAAAACAAAAAAAACAACAAAACTCATTAGGAATATAGAAATGAAGCTTCATTAACTACAGGCTGCTGGACCTCTGACACCCAGCGTCACTGCAGGTGTTGATTTGATTTACGTTATAAACACTACACAGGAGAAATTACTCTTTGCCTTTAACCCATCTGACAGACTGGGTTCACAGGAACTAAAGATCGCAGGTTCTAACGAGCTGGATGGCTGTTGTTTTAGGATTTTCTTTATTTCTCTGACGGCTCAGTTTTTTGAAAATGAAGAAAGGACCAAGTTCTGGTGATTAATGTGACGATGTCTGACTCTCTGGTGCGTTTCACTAAAGAAATGTCTGCAGGGCTGATGCCATACACGCAGAGATACAGTATTAGGAGAGAATGAAGACACAGTACTGCACATACAGTACACAGTACTGTAGGATTCTTCCTCCAGGCCATGCATAATATTCTCTGATAAATGCTTGTTGTTTTGCTGCCGCTGATGATGAATCATACGCAAAAGGCTTAGAGGGAGAAAAGGAAGTGTCTTTGGAATTAAAGGGACAACCGAGATGTTCCATTTCAGGGAGAAATCTCTGGTTTTTATCCCTGCTCTTCCACGTCCGTACCTCCAGGGCGGCCAGATTAGCCTGGTTCTGTTCAGCCAGCGACCCGGCCTGCCTGGTCTGTCCCTGCGCAGCGTGGAGCTGCTCCTCAGCCTCCTCCAGCTTCCCCTCGTGGTCCATGAGTTTCCCTTTTATCTTCAGAGGCAGATCAGGAAGCGTTAGGTTAATGTCATTCATTAGGAAACACAGAAGACTTAATGAGTGCAGATTAGAGCTTGTAATTACCTCAGCTTTCAGGTCTTCTGTGGCCTGATGGGGGTCGCCGAATAATCTTTTGACTTTCTGATACAGCTCCTCGGCGAGCCTGGGAGGACGACAGAAAGGGTTCGTTTTTTTTTTCACTTCTACATTTCTGTCATGTTTCTGTTGTGGCAGCTTTAAAAAGTAGGACAGTGGAATGAGTAAAGGCGCAGACGGGAACCGTTATTGTGATGCGTGACGGAGCCTGGGTTTGTGCAAAGACAATAATCACTTCATATGAGTGAATGTTGAAATGCAGGAATGAAATTGGTGATTTTCTTCTATTGACCCCTGAGGCTCTGTTAGATTAAATTGTAGAAGTTAAAAAAGAAAAAAAAAAAAACACATTTCAAATATGGCCCAACTAATGGCTCTGCGTTCGCATGTGATTGGACGGGAAGCTGAGGCAATATGTGCTAATGCACGCCACGGCATAACAGTGTGATAATAGGAGAAAGAATTTCCAGAAAATAAGTCTGTCTGCAGCCTAACCACTGCAGACAGACTGTGTGCATTCAGTTTAATTCAACAGTCCCAGAGGTCAGAGTTCAGACAGGACTGATGGGCAAAAAAAAAACAAAAAAAAAACAACAGTCAGTCAGTCAGCTGGAAGAGTGACATGAAAATATAACTTTTTTAAAATAATGAAATACAATCTAAAAAGTGTAATGTGGAAATTTAGCTTAAATGCTATCCTGATGCTATTCTTTTTTCTCACATTGGTATTAGTATTGAAATCAGTTTCCTAATCATATGTTCACCCTGCCGTCTCCTAATAAGCCTTGTTTTTCCACTTCAGCGTTGATCAAAACAACACGGATCTATAGTGTCCCCGGGTTGACATCACTCAGAGGACAATTTCTCACAGACTTGTGGGAATGTATGCGCAGTAATGAATGGATTTGATGAAACTTTAATGAACCCTGTGGGGACATCAACAGAGCAGGGGGTGAAAATGAACACGACTTGGTACGAAATCAAATAAGAGGCCCGTTCAAACCTCACTTACAGACGGCTTTTTTTAGGAAGGTATAGCTAACAGATGACACATGATGGGGGAAAAAAAAGTCGAATTTGCTTTGAGTAAAACTACAGAAAACAGTGTCAGACGCGTTCTTCTGGCTTCTGTCGTTACTTTTGTTTTTCCGCCTCAGCTCTGGATTAAACCTCACCTCAGGCTGGAGTCGAATAATAAACCACAGACTGACGCACGTGTCCTTCAGCAGCAGCGACCGTGGCCGTTTTTCTCTGCTCCGCCTCCACACCTCCCTGCCCGTCTGTCTGTCTGTCTGTCAGAGTCTCTCCTCCACCTCCGTGACTTCTCTCACACCGCAGCACGTCCGTGCTCTTTGTATCGTCTTTGTGTCTTTTGTTCCTCCACTTTTGGCCCTGGCGGCAAAACTTTTAATCAACTCATCGACCTCGTCAATATTTACGGCTCAGAGACAGAGGGTGAGACGGAGGTGGAGGAGGAGGAGGAGGAGCCAGGAGGGTTGATTACTAATTTGTTTGATAACTAACTAAGTCTTAAGAGGAACAATAGGTGAGAGGAACAAAGTGGGAAAAAACACATCGTGTTCTGGGGGAAAAAAACTGCAGCTCCAGCATCGTGACTCAGTCAACAACAACAACAACAACGACAACAACAACGACGACAAAGACCGGAGACAAAAGGAGAGGCAGGGAATTAAAGAAGAACTAAGTTACTGTCAACCTCAGACAGTTGATGAGTTTTTTCCCAACATTCCATGTTGGTGGAGGATCAGCTCACAGCACAGTTTTACATTTGAAATTTCTAAACAAATGTTATCAAATACATTTTTGTATATATGTAAATATGTCTATGAGAAGTATTTAGAAAAAACAGAAGACGTGTGTGTGTGTGTGTGTGTGTGCGTCCGTACTCCAGCTCCTCCTCGGCGATGCCCTTCTTCCCCCCCAGCTGTCGTTGTCTCATCTCAGCCAGCATGGCCTGGATCTCCTGCTTCATTTGGTTCAGGCTTTTGTCTGGAGCTCCATCTCTGCGTGAGAGGGTCTGGTTCAACTCCGCTGCCTTCAGCTGCAGCTCTGCACACACAGCGTTTACAGACGAGGGTTTAAGGACTGCATTCAAGTCTACCAGAAATGTGACTCTAGATGCAGTACCAGTGCTGGCCACTGAAGGCAGAAGTCTGGCTTTAACAGAAACTATTTAAAATCAGTCAAGCTTTTCCACTGTGTCTCCTAAATTAACATGATTATTATGATGATTCACACACACACACATATTCAGTATATAGTGTGCCTACAGGCCAGCACTGGTACTACATCTAGTTACATTTCTGCCTTGCTTTTGTGGCTAAAAAACCTACTAAAAGACTTTTCCAAAAATAATGACAAAATATTCATGTAACAGGATTATTTACCAGGTTGTGTTG